ACAGGCAGCAGCATCCTCTTCAGAAGGCGGCCATGGATGAAGAGAGCGAGACCCTCGTGGTCCCACAGCTTTAAACTGAGCATGGCATGGAGTACCTCACTGGTCAATACTGGGTCACCTGTTCTGCCTGCCCCTCCCCGCAAGTACAACCCCTTCCGACTCCTCACTTGCAGGACCTAAGAGGCCTATCAGTGACCTTGGCTCCTATAGTGATAATTATGGGCAGGGGCCTTTTTCTGCATTGCTTTCCTACCATTGGCTCAGTGTAACTATAAACTTTGGGTGTTACCAGCTTTGGAGGGGACACTGTCTGTAAAATGTGCAGCCAGCTTCAGAAAAACGCAGTGACTTAGAAGAACTTAGCTGTAAGGAAGATTCACTAAAAGAGAATCGGCTCCGTCTTAACCAAAACCAGGACATTAGTAAAGTGAAATAAATAGGTCTCTGCAGAGACCTCTTTGTTTTCACTGATTGCAGACAGAGCCTGGGGTGAAGGGCTAGACACCTGATGTCAAGGCTGCTGAAGAGAAAGAAGTGTCAGACCTGAAAGGAGTTGTCAAGAGTCACCCCTTGGATTCAGTTCCTAGAGCTGCATGGGGCAGAAAATAACAAGCCAGACAAATTCCCTCCTCTCAGTAGAGACACTACAGCTTGATAATGCCAGAGTAGATTATGCACCTCATCACTGTAAAACACTACTCACATTTGTGTCATCCTGTAAATAACTGATGCTAGCAATACCACATGGAGAACATAAGGATGTTGAAAAGCAGCTTGAACACTGAGCCCTCCAAATCAAAGTAAATGGCTCATAATTGACAGAGCACTTCATCAGAAATCCTTTACACAATTTATATTAGGCAGTTCCACCTACATGCAATTCTTTCAACAAGGATTCACTTAGGAGGTATTTATTTAATGGCCTTCTTTGCTTACCAGAATAGGTTACTTATTTATGGGATAGAGTCTTACCTATGGCTTCCAGCAGATTTCTTCCAGTCCTAACCAGACTTTAACCTCAGAGCCTGATTTCCCAGCACATTGCACTCCTGCAGCAGAATAATATGCTGACATAGAGACAAGCTCTGGAGTAAAGCCAGCACAGCAATAGTAGAAAAATAACAACAGCTAATTTTAGCCTAGGAAAGCCTGTTTAGGCTCCCCTCTTGCAAACAGAGGCAGACAGGCTGATACAGGGGATGATTTGGAGCAGATATAAGGCTTCCACTTCGAACTGCACCTCTCTGCACTGCCCGTAAAAGGAGTACAAAGAGAGAGACGACGCCCTTTTTAAGCACTCCTTAATTGGCAATGAGGCCTTCATTACTCACTGCTGTGCCATCTAGCACCAGCTGACACCAGTGAGGGCTTTTTTTTTTTTTTTTTTTTGACATTGTGCTCTGCATCTGATTTTGACAGCCAGAGCTTTTATCTCTTTTTTTCATTCTTAGAGAAAAAAGAATACCGGGATTTGCTAGGAGTCCAGGATTTGTTGCCCCGTGTAAGAGTTGTTCTGGCAAGCCTAGAATAAAAGAGGAAAGCAGAAGCAGGGACACCACGGGATGCTTTCCTGCTTGTTGGAGTGACTCATGCGTTCTCTGAGGTATGAGGATCTCTGAATCCACATTCAACTTGATGCCCATCTGCAACTGCTGGTTTCATAACTTTTATGAATGAGATGTTTTGTGCTGATGTTAACTAATATTCTCCAGTCTCCTCACCTTTTACTGTAGAAAGAGAGAATCTAAACATGAAGTTTGGGATAGTAATGTGAGCAGGGGGGTTTATTTTTACCCCGTGCCCCTCCCACAAAAAAGAGGTGCGTGTGATCCTGGTCTTTCTGTTTTCTGTTGTGGCTGTGGCTGTGCGTGCGCTCCTGTTCCTCCCAGCCCTCATCATCTTTCAACCCAGCATGGCAGAAGAGTCTGTGACATTAATTTCTGACTGGCGGGTGCGGTTAGGCAGCTTCTGCAGAAAGATGCTGTTACTGAGGTAACAGGGCCGCAGTGCAAGCTTAGCAGTGATCAGTCAGCAGAGAAGCCAGCCACAGACACAGTTTCATAGAAGACCTGGCCCTGCTGCTCGTGGATCTGCTTGTTTGTGAAGTCCTTAAATACATGATGACTTGGGATTCTCAGCTTCGATAAAAACAGGAAAAGGGAAGGTTGGTTTTTAGCCTTTGAGGCTGTGGATAAAGAAGCCAAAATACATGAACATTGAAACTTCTGCTAACAGGGTGGAATTATTTGCCAGGGAAGGGATTGACCTTAGAGTCCTGGGAAATTAAGGGCAGCCTGCTGAATTTGCACAGGTTTCTTTATTTTTTTCACAAACAAGTGAGAGAAAAGGTTAGTGTAAAATTCATCAGGTTGCAGAGAAATTTCATCTAAGGCTGCTGGCTCCATGAACTCAAGAGCAGACATACAGAGGTGGTAGGGGCAGCCTAAAGAGGCCACATGAGGTTGACCTTCACCTCTCCCACCAGCATATACTGAAGTTTCCGGTACCCCAAGAAGCAAAGGCTGACAGCCAGCCCCAAATCCTTGCCATCCTCACAGCTGCAAGCACTCCTGCCCATGCTGTGGCCAGCTGACAGGCAGAGCAGTGACCAGGAGGAAAGACGAGGTGGTTTCTGTGCTGAACTTGCATCCCAGACACCTTGCTAGTAGTTGACTAAGCAGGTTTTTGCACTACTGGAGTTAAAGCTCAGTGAGCTTTGCAAAGATGTAAATTGGCGATGAACTGAGCATGGTGCCACAAAGCCAGGCATGACTTGAGGAGCAGCACAGGACGCACAGTCTTGCGTCACTTAACGGTGATTAAACCCAGCCATTGGGTAAAAGCCTTTGGGTTTGCGTCCCTAGAATGTCCCAGCGCAATCTATGGAGAAAGTCCATTTTCTACTGATTTACTCCCTTTGATCCTCTGGGCAACATGTTCTTCTACTGAAATTTCATTCAAAAAGGGCAACTTCTGTGTTTTAGTTAAATGTAGAAGTGGATTTGAAACACCAGGCATTAATGCAGCCGTTGGTCTGGTTTCAGTACCAGGGGAGGAAAGCTCTTTTTCTGTTGCGTGTTCTTTATTCTTGTACACGAATAAGTTCCAAATTGTGCAAAGTGACGTAACTCTTTTCTCAGTAGTAAGAGGTTATCACATTATAACCGAACACTTCAGAGAAGGATTTGGTCAGAGACTGCCTGCCTGTAATCCCTGTACTTGCACTCTGAGGCAAAAGCAGCAGAAAGGATGGGCTGGCTTCTTAATGCCACAGAATTCAAGGCCAAAAGGTATTTCCATATGCAGTATTTACTCTGGGCACAGAAAGTTGATATTTTATTTTGAACGGTTTGAAATTCTCAGAATCTGGATTTTATTCTGTGTCAGCTCTGCATCCTTTTTGTGAAATCCAAATCAGAAGCACTTTGCTGATGAAGGGCTTGATAGTGCAGCCAGGAATGAAGCTGATGGCGAAGTTTCCGGAGACCCCCTGAATAAAGTCAGCGCAACTCCTGGTAATCACATAAGCTGTATTGGCGAGCACATCTACAAGGGTCTTACTGGCAATTTTTGAATAGAAAATATTTTCTCAATCTTAGGAAAGGGCTTGAGCTGACTTTGGTTGGTTTAGAGGACATATCTCCTCCTGAAACTTGATGGCAGTGTTGACTCCCCTCCAGACAAGCCTGCTGTCCTGCTCAGGTAGACCTATCCCAGCTCCAAGAAGCTGCCCCACAACAACTTCTACCGACCGTGGTGCTGATATTTTTAATCCTTAAAGGACTTGCCTACATCAGCTTCACGAGGTGAGGTTTTTATAAGCAGGGTTTGCTGGCAGGACTCCCTGCACGGGCACTAGCACCCAGACCCAAACGCAGTGCATGCACAAAACTAAAGCTGTTCATGCTTTGTGTTGCAGCTGAGTTTTTCATTACAGAATCACAGAATCACAGAATAGTAGGGATTGGAAGGGACCTCTGTGGGTCACCCAGTCCAACCC